GTTAAGATCTTTGTTCGCAACTATATACATACTACTTTGCTTGTTCGGCTTTCTGTTTGTCAAAAAGCTGAATCGATTGGGCCCTAATTTTGCGTGGGACCTCATATGGCCCCATTTATAGATGGTTTATGGATGATCAGAATTTTTAAAAAACGATTACAAAACTTTTCGATTTTTGTAAAATTTAGAAAATCCACGAAAAAAATCAGGGAATTTTTTGTTACTGTTTTACGTACACAGAACAACAGTTAAAAGTTGAAATAGCAGACCGGCCCTGAAAGCCTATCTAAAATTTAAAACAAATTACAATTTTTTTTAGATTTTACTTCTTACTTAATGATCTGATGAAAGGGAACTACATGTCCAATTATGATTAGTGATGAGGAAGATATCCTAGTTTTTATATTTTAAAATGAGATCAATTCTGTTCATGACTTTCAATTTTGAAAAGAAAAAACGAAAATTTTCTTAATATGTGCTCGGACGAATGTCTCAAGGCAAAGAGAATAGAACAAAGTGTACAAATCATGTAAATGTTCACAAATTTTTTGCAGTAGAGTACATTAATACAGTATGTTCCCTAGACTATCCATTTCAAATTCGAATTTTTTAAAGCTGTTAGATAAACTTTATAAACTGAATTAGGTGAATAAAGGCCCAAAATGTTATATAGCGCAAATATGTGAAGTACGCCTGCAGTATGGAAACAGTACAACAAAATGGCCGTTTTACACTTTTTTCTAGTAAATTCCACTCTAATATATATTCTATTCTCTTTGTCTCAAGGGTACCGTTGTGAATGAGACCAATCACAAAGGTATTCTTGTTTATTTTTGTAAAATGAAATAAAGCGAGATTTATATTTTTAAAAGAGATAAAGGTTTTAAGTTGGAAGCGTTGCGAAGCGACCTTCTCGCCTACTTTGTGTATTTAAATTGACATTATATTCATATTAATCCTCATCCTAACCCCCCCCTTTTTCCAGACCAATAATTTACAGTTAGTTCACTTAAGGAATGTTTTTGACCAGTGTATCTGGGTACCCTGAGATACCAGTGGTTCTATAGGGACCTGGAGATGGGTTGGATCTTCTTCCTGACCTTGTATATAACGGTTTATCTACAAAACCTTTCTTAAAAAGACCGTCAAACTAATCTTTTAATATTGTCCCAGGTCCATTGATTGAATAAATATTATCATTAAATACTAAAATTAAACTTCATTTTTTTGGAATTTTATCAAAATTGATAAATATATTACTTATCTCGTTAAATTAATATTTTTCAGCTATTCTTTGAACACTAAAGGGACTGTAAGCGTAATTTCAAGTAATCCTCCATGCAAAGAAAGCAATGCCCGACGATTCACAACGGAACCCTGAAAAGCTTTCTCTGATCAGGTATGAATTATATATCAATGTTTATCATTTTGAAATCTGATAATTTTTAAATATGGTTTCATAAAAAAGTGAATTATTGAAGGAAAATATATGATTTATCAGAGTTTGCACTATTAAACCTAGAAAAAAGATAATTTCTTCCGGGGCCACATTATTGATCAGATTAAGGTTTCAAAGGTAACGTTGCCTATACAGCTTTAGAATTGTTAATAATTTCTGAAAAGTGGCAAAATGTGCGCAATTCTTGACAAAAAATGTCACTACAAACTTTAATTCAAAACCAAGTATAGTTTCGTTTTGTTCTAAAAATCACGCAACCTCTTAGCTTAACCATGCCTCCTATTTATATATTAGGGTTTATGATACAGGAGCACTGCAAACCAAGATGTGTGCACACGCTCTCACATATATGATACAGGACACTGCAAACCAAGATGTGTGCACACGCTCTCACACAAAAATGGAGCAATTTTTTACCATTACTTTCAACCTCAAGCTAGAAACATTTTTAGAATAAAAATTCTAGAGCTACAAAAAAAATAAGTTGGTGATATAAAATCATAGGCAATGCGACACTGTAAAGTCTAGGTTGTCCAAAAAGAAATTGAGTCTTTGTCACAAACTCATAACTTCTACTACCTATATCTTTGCAATCCGATTATGTAAACCTTTAATATTTAAAACTATGATTATTTGATCTAACACTATCCAAAGTTTGAATTATCAAAGGTTGATGACGTATTGGGTTGCAAAACTAAAGAGATTAGAATATCAGAGTTTGTGGCAATGACTCAAATCCTTTGATGAATTTCAAAGTTGTAAATATATTATATATGTAGGCCGTAGCTATAGACCACAGAGTATCTCAATCCCGTACTGGAGCCAACTTTTTAATTTTTAAGATTACTTGAATTTTTCAGTTAAACTTTAACTAAACTCCTGCTATTTCCTCTAAACGTTTGTCTTATAGTTTTAAAAACCAATGAATAAAAAAGTTTATTTTCAAAAGGTGTGCAATGTGTAAGTCAATTGAGATTTTTAGAAATAACGGAAATTAATGTGGAGTGTAGACAATATCGATTTTAGTTGATAAAACAATTTTTAAACATCTTCTTTAATTTCAAAGATTCCATAACTTTTAACTAAATCAAAGTTTTTGAAAAATAATATGTAGACAGGATTTCTTTCATTCAAATTATTGTATTATGAGAACCGATCATGATAACTTTTAGATAAATGGAAAGAATTTCAATTTCTAAAAAAGAAAATTTTGTTCATTTAGAAAGTTCAAGTCTTGAATACTAGCTGACTGATTGCATATGATTCTCTAAAAAAAAAAGCATTTTTAAAACTACAATTTTTTATTTCGGACATTGAAGAATACAGTAAAATATCGTTCTGCTAACAGTTCCGGTTTTTTCCCAGCAAGCTGTAATTTTCAATCACAATTTGATTTATCAGACATCTTTTGTGTTTTGTTTTACAGTTTTATATGTTACTAGGCTTTTAGGGCGCTTCGCTCCAACCTTCTATTTCAACTTTTTATTGTGGCTTTATCTGTGAGCATCTTCTCTTCGTCAGTAGAAAATATATATATAATATCTGTGAGCATCTTCTCTTCGTCAGTAGAAAATATATATATAATATCTGTGAGCATCTTCTCTTCGTCAGTAGAAAAAAAAACATTATTGCAGATTTCATAATATTTTTTCGCGCATTTTTAAAAATTTTACAAAAATAAAAAGCTTTAATTACACACATTTTTGAAATTTTAATCATTCATAAACCTTCCCTAGGGTCACGTGAGGTCACACACAAAATTTGGGTCCGATCGGTTATGCCGTTTTGACGTTTACTGGATACAAACTGGCAAACCGGCAAGTAAAGTTTATAAAGATAGATGTCGAATGTGTTTTAAATGCAAAAGTATAAAAAGACAATTCAGTAAAATTAAATATTGGTGAATCAAAAATTAAAAACAATATTTAAATAAAATTGAAGTAACCAAACGCATCTATAGTCCAGGGTGGCCATGAAAAGTCGTTGAAAAATGCATTTTTATATTGCGATTCAATTAATCTGTATGAACAGCGGTTGTTTAAGAATCCAAGATAATGTTACATCATGAACAAATTCTTTAAATTCAGAAATAGAAAAAACGTGACTGAGTTTAAAAATGTAAAGTTAACATTGTGTGTTGTTATTGTTTGTGGTTAAAACAAAAAGAAATGTTTATGGAGCCGATTACTCTCTGTCTCCAGCTCCTCTTGAACCCTGATTTTACAGGGTTACTCATAAAGCATGAGACTTCAAAGACGACTGAACGGAATTTATTCGGAAAAATTCTTATTCTTTGTTTCTTTCCTATTAACTTTTTTTCTAAATTATTTAGATTTTATTTTCCTACAGAAGTCGGTCTTCTCAACTTAAAACTTAAAACCAAGCTAAGAACATTCCCGTGGTTCCACCAAGTTCCCTAATCAAAATTCGAGGCAAATCGGTCAATGGGTTCAAAAGAGCAAATTTAACTTCTAGATCGTTTATAGTAATTGGGGTTAGGTCGTCATTAAACTCTCATCCTTTGTGGATAACTCTGTAAACTACTCCTATATTTTATCTCAGCTGCATTCTAAAACTTTATACAATTCAAACAAATGGCATAAAAGGGCCGTCCAAACTAACACTTGGCAATTTTCCGTTAAGGAACAAAATCGTTCAGTTATCAGTTAAAAGGAAACGGTTACTCTTGAAGAGTAGCACATTAACTATACAACCGTTAACGTACATTAACTATATAGCCGTTAAAGTACATTAACTATGTAACCGTTAACGTACATTAACTATATAACCGTTAAAGTACATTAACTACGTAACCGTTAATGTACATTAACTATATATAACCGTTAACGTACATTAACTATATAACCATTAACGTACATTAACTATATAACCGTTAACGTAGATTATCTATATAACCGTTAGCGTACATTACGTATATAGTATATAACCGTTAGGGTACATTAACTATATAACCGATAACGTACATTAACTATGTAACCGTTAACGTACATTAACTATATAACCGTTAAAGTACATTAACTATATATAACCGTTAACATACATTAACTATATATAACCGTTAACGCACATTAACTATATAACTGTTATCGTACATTAACTAGATATCCTTTAACATACATTAACTATATATAACTGTTAACGCACATTAACTATATAACTGTTATCGTACATTAACTAGATATCCTTTAACTATATAACGGATAACGTATAATTTGAAAAAAAAATAAAAGCGTGGCATAGTTTCAGATTGTGAGCCATTAATAGCGTGGTTAAAGTTGTCATGCGTTAATTGCTTATTTTTATGAATAAGCATTTTTAGAATTTCTAAAATAATGTACATCTTACTCTGATTCTTAATAGTAATAAAGTTTCGTGGATCTATCTGTAACGTTCATTTAATTCTTTTAAGCGTCTTTTGCGATTTAAAAAATTTCAGTAAATGAAACCTGAAGAAATAGTAACAGCTAAAACCTTTTTTAAAGCACAAAACATCACAAGAAACTCTGATTAACCTAGCAAGTAAAGTTGAAATAATTTATTTAGAAAATTACATTAATGCCATTGCCATTTCAAAATACATTGTAATTGTACCATGTTGTTAAGAAAAATATTAGATTAGTGTATTATACAACGTACTGTCTTTAAACTATGCGCAATCAGTTTACAAAGTTATTTTTATTCTTCAAAATTAAATTCCAAACAAACAAATGCATTTTCTGTCTCGAGGTACAAGATTCAGACGCGGCAATATGCGCACACAGACTTTACAAAGGTGCAAGCTGTAGGGTCACTCATAGAAGATGAGACTTCGCAGACGACTATACGGAATTTATTTAATTTTTTTCTTACATTAATGGTTCCCAATAGCATTTAACTTATTTCTTTCTTTTCCAAATAATTTCAAAAATTATTTTGTTTTTTGAAGATCGTCTTTAAAGTCTGATCCTGTGTGGGTAACCCTATATCAGTTCTTCAGACATTGGACACGACTTGAATTGGAACTGTCTTGGAATGATAGTTAATCAATGTTCGCTCTATCTTTAATTGATCTATATAGTTGCTCTATGCTTGATCTATGATTGATCTATGCTTGATCTATGTGTGATCTATGCTTGCAATGTCTTCTTGAAGGACTTAATCTCCAGGTCAAGGTTAGCGAAGGATTTAACTCCCTTGAAGGTGAAGTCAGAGACCTGGAGAGATCCCAACTCAACCCAACCCAACCTTCTCAGTGCTTTTTCAGTACCTGGAGAAGAAAAAAATATTTTTATATTTTTAACCGTTTATAAAACTAATTTTTTATATATTTTTCAATATTATATCCATCCTTTTCTTAATTAAACACTACTTTTAACAGTGGGTTATATAAAATGTGGATAAGAAGACTAGGGACGGATACAGGATTTAAGTGAGGGGGGGTGCTAGATTTATTGACTGACTTTATAGATTGACTTTCCTATTTTGCACTAGCGGTTTCTTTCCCTTAAGTGCTATTAAGAAGCTATTCTGAAATCTCAGGGGGTGCGAAGGTCCTGCCGCCCCCCTGTATCCGCCCCTGAAGAAGACGACTGTTAGACTCATGCTATGATTATTGACATAAACAAAGAAATTGTACAGTCTATTATACATAGTGTGCGCATTCCTATTTTACTTGATTAATTGATTTTGATGCTACTGTTAAAAATATTTGCATTACCAACATCAAATACACATAATTGATTAATCAAATGTCGTCTTTAAATATTCAATTTTTTAGGTTTTATCTTTTTTTGTCCAAATCACAACGATATCCTTTAACCCTTTAAACCCAAGTAAAAATAGTGTAAATATTCTAGTTTTTCTGTCTGAAAATAAATCTGTTTCAATTGCGATTTCTCTTCAAAAATTGACTTTTGTATTTATCCAGCAGAGACATTAACAATATCTTCCTCATTGTTACTTAGATAAAAGTGAATAGTGTACTACAGCGTCAATTTAACTCCTTACAGGGATCTGTCCTTGTAATTTAACTCCTTACAGGGATCTGTCCTTGTAATTTAACTCCTTACAGGGATCTGTCCTTGTAATTTAACTCCTTACAGGGATCTGTCCTTGTAATTAAACTCCTTACAGGGATCTGTCCTTGTAATTTAACTCCTTACAGGGATCTGTCCTTGTAATTTAACTCCTTACAGGGATCTGTCCTTGTAATTTAACTCCTTACAGGGATCTGTCCGTGTAATTTAACTCCTTACAGGGATCTGTCCTTGTAATTTTAAGAAAACCTCCATATAATGAGAGACATAGCGGTAGCGCAATAAACCCTTAATTTGATCAATAATCAGGAAGATGTTATTGAAGTAAGAAATGCGCAAGTCACTTTTGCAGTGAAACCATGCATATGAAAATAAACAGTTTTAAAAAAATGGATGTCTAGTTAATGCTTTATCAGACAAAATTTTAAGGGTCCAGGTGTAAATCGGACATGCCACATTATCAATGGAGGGTCACTTACAATTACGTTAACAGTCTCTTTCAATGGAGGTTTTTAATCACGTGATCCAGCGTACTTATTTTATTTTTTTACCTATTGATGTTGCAACTGCTCTCAATACCACAGTTTCATCAACAAGCTTCATATTCTGCAACTCCTGATATATTTTAGTAATTATTAACTAGCAAATATGCCCGACGTTGCCCGTGGAATTAAAAAATCGAATTTTAAAAAAAAATGATTTTTAAAGAAAATAAAGAAAAATGACAGCCCATTCGGTCTAGCCGTATGGCCAGCTATAGATGACATATATGAGAGCGAAGAGCTTTATTATGTAGATTAATATTCATATATATACATATATAATATACATAATATAATCATAAATCGATATTTATTATTATTAATTACTAGCTGAAGGGCCTTGTGTTGCCCGTGTTTTTTTGAGAAAAAAGAAACAAAAATTATATTTTTTTTAAATACAAGTTTTAGATTTTTTTTAGCCTACGTTACCGCTGGGTCCCTCAAAAAAAATTCGCCCATTCTGTCCAGCCGTTAGGCCGGCTATAGGGAACAAATACATATAGATTAATTATATTAATTAATTAAAAATACCCTAAATCAAATCCAGAATCTCCGAACCATGTTTCTAAGAATAAAAGAATGTCGAGGAGAATTTCGAAGATTTTTTTAGGAATTTATTTCTTGTCTTGCTGACACTCGGGTTCAGTGATAAATCATATGAACTTCTTACAAAGAATCCGGCTTTATTTATCTAAGTTGTTTTTTAGGTTTTTGTTGAAAATTGTTTTTTTTTACGTTTGAAATGCGTGAAAAAAAATCTTTGCACTAAAAGCATTTCTACCAGGATCTGGGTCGCAAAGATATGGGGATTAGAAAATTTGAGTTTGTGGCAAAGAATCAATTCCTTTGGAACTTAAAAGTCCTTTGGAAGAAAAGTACTCAAATTAGAAGAAATTTAAAACACAAGACTTTAGTTCAATTGACATTTTCTCAATAGCAGTTTTCTGAGTTTTTATTAGCAGTTCTTTATTATAAGTAAATTTTCCGAATATATAACGTTTATAAATTTATATTTATATACCTGTACTGTGGTTTCAATATATAGCGTTTATAAATTTATTATTTATATACCTGTACTGTGTTTCAATATATAACGTTTATAAATTCATATTTATATACCTGTACTGTGGTTTCAATATATAACGTTCATAAATTTATTATTTATATACCTGTACTGTGTTTCAATATATAACGTTTATAAATTCATATTTATATACCTGTACTGTGGTTTCACCCCTATAGCCTCTAAATAAACAAATTTCTCCGGCCATATAGAGGTCACGTCCATGCATATGTTGCAAACACTGAAAAATACATCATCTAAATAATAATTAATCCAAATTAAAAGAAAATTTCTAATTTAAATATTAATCAATGGAAACCTTCCTGCAATCGATGAAAAATGTTAAAGAATATTAAAACAACAAAAACTGAGAGTATCTGTTTTGAGTAATTTAATAACTATTTATAACACTGTTATTTTGGTTAGCCGTGTTATAAAATTTTTGTACAAAAATTTTCTCTTTATCGAGAAGGTTCAAGCCTTTTTAGATTTAATTTTGTCCTGAGCTTTAGCAAGTGACAAAATATAGTCTAAAAAGGCGAGAACCTTCGAGATATAGAGAAAATTTAAGTCCAAAAACTTTATAACACGTCGTGCCAAAATAATAGTGTTATAGGTAATTTTTTGAAACATTTGTGTACTTGTCTTATTTCAATGTCTATTTCTATAGATCAAATAAGCTTTGAAACAAAGCAGAAGTAAAGAAATAAAGTTGATTTCGTGCTATAATGTACAGCTATTTAATTTTATAGCACGATGATTACGTTATAGCATGCTCATGAAATTCACGATGAAATGAGTAAGAATGATAAAGTACACAGTAGTTTCATAAAAACAGTTTACAGATCACCTAGTGCAAAATAAAATTTAAACCACACAACACCATTTTAAAATTGTGTTATATGAGTGTTCAATCAGTCAAAAGATTTGTTTTTAAAAGCTTTTCTTGAATACTCTTTACTTGACAGAACAGAAAGCACTTGATAAAAAATCATCTCAGCTAGGACATTATTAGGTTGAAGTTGTGATACCTGACTATGGGAGCCAAAGTCTCCAGACCGAGCTCCTGGCAGGTCTTGACGGCGTCCTCCTCCACCGTCTCCAGCAGACTACCCTTCAACCAGCAAAAGAAGTTCAAGGACTGAAACTGGTGAAATTAAATCCAACGTTCAGGTTTTAAAAATCGGTGTTGCAAGATGCTCCAAAACTCATTGAGTAAATAAAGTAGATGTTAGTACCACATTTTAAAGAAATATATTACGATCCTGGTTGACCCTTTTCAGTTTTTGAGATTTGTTTCTGTCATAAATATGGCTTCAATGACGACTTGAGACCTATTAACGATGATGATACTAAATTTGAATAATAATGAATAATAGGGAAGTATGGATTTACAGCTGCACAACAAGCAATGATTGAAGAAAAAGAATACAAAAATCTGTACAGTCGTCTCTGCAGTCCCATTCTTTCTGGGTATAGTCCTGTAAATAATGCAAAAAAACATGTAATGTCAAAATTTATTGAGTCTTTGCCACAAACTTTGATTTTCTAATCTCTATGTTGTAAACCGCAGATACTCTGTTTTATCTAACAAGCTAAGCTTGAAACATCCAAGCTTTATATTGTGAGGTTGCAAAGAAAATTTGAATTAGTAGAGAAGACTCATTCCATTGAAAATTGTTTTCTTTTGTTTCCTTAATCGTTGATGGATCCAGTCCGCTCTTTTCATAGAAAATACTGAATCCGTAAACTTCTAAACCAAACCAAATATATTGAAAACTTCTAAACCAAACCAAATGTATTCAATTTTTTAAACTTCTAAACCAAACCAAATATAACCAACCCAAAATTTAAAAATGTTGATTTTATAAACTTCTAAATCAACTCAAAATATTAAATTTTGTAAATTTTAAACCAAACCAAATATATTGAATGCTGAAAACTTCTAAACCAAACCAAATATATTGAATGCTGAAAACTTCTAAATCAAACCAAACATATTAAGTGCTGAAAACTTCTACACCAAACCAAATATATTAAATGATGTAAACTTCAAAACCAAACCAAGTTTAAGGAATTTTGTAAACTTCTGAACCAAACCAAATGTATTGTAAACTTCTAAACCAAACCAAATATATTGAATATTGTAAACTTCAAAACCAAACCAAATATATTGAATGTTGTAAACTTCTAAACCAAACCAAAAATACTGAATGCTGAAAACTTCTAAACCAATCCAAAAATACTGAATGCTGAAAACTTCTAAACCAAACCAAAAATACGGAATACTGAAAACTTCTAAACCAAACCAAATCTATCGAATGCTGTAAATTTCTACACCAAACCAAATATATTGAATGCTGAAAACTTCTACACCAAACCAAATATATTAAATTTTGTAAAATACTCAATCAATCCAATAATCTTAAAGGAATTGAGTCTTTGCCATAGACTCCAACGTTATAATACCTCTATCTTTGTGACCTGATGTTGTAAACCAAACAGAATTTATAGTTTGAAATGTCTAAGGTTTACGACATTGGGTTGCAAAGTTGTAGGGATAAGAAAATTAGAGTTTGTGACAACAACTAAACTTCTTTTTTGTAATTTATTTTCTAAAATTTTCTTTGCTACCTGAGTTGTCAGAATTAATTGCCACCATAACACAGCCAGTGTCTTTAAATTTATTCACATTTAAATGAAAAATTAAATAAATTTCAATTTCAATAAACAAGAAAAAAAAATTCAAAAGTTTTACAGTAAAAAACATGTTTGTTTTTCCATCAATTCCCCCCCTCTTATCTCTCCTAAAGAACAAATTAAAGCTGTTACTCCAATAAAAAGCCTGACATGTGTCATTATTTCCTTAATTCAAACATTTACAACAGTTTTCAACACATACTAGTTTCCATTTTGAATAAAATTTTAATAAAATACAGACGACAGATGTTAACAAAACACATCCGACAAGAATTTTAAAAAATTTAAATTTAATTTGATAAATTTTAACAAATAAAAACGCCCCTCCTTAATTTCTTTCTCATTAATTTAATCAATGTCTTCAAAAATTTAAAATTTGGTGATGGTGATGCACCAAACCTCTGTAGAGAAAAAAAAGTAGATGTTAGTCCACATTTATTGAAAATATATTTCGGTCTGGGTTGACCCTCGTCAGTTCTTGAGATCGTTTCTGTCACAAAGATTAAAATGTCGAATCCTTTTTGCACCAGGAAAAAAATGTGCAGAAGCAAATTAAAAGCAACATTAAGAAAAAAAATTTGAAAATTAAAATCATTAAGTAATCAAAAAAAACATTGAGACAGTGTCGATTTACATTTTTTTTCAAAACATGTGGAAAGATGCGCCCTGAATACTATCCATTTTTCGATTTTCAAACATTTCTAGATTTATGGATAGTAAAGAATATTTTTTTTATTATTTAATATATTGATTTAAACCAAAAAGCAAAAATCTGAATGAGTTTGAAAAATTCTTTTTGGAAACTGTATCAGAGAAACTTTAGCACTGGTGAAAGTTGGATTTGAGCATTTTTTATCAAAAATATGTTCCATAGGTTTACCTTTACATAAATATGTATACTTTGCTTTGTGTGGGACCTCACATCATCCAAGGGAAAGTCAACGGGTGCTCAGAATTACGAAAAAATAAGACAAAAGTTTTTCGATTTTCATTAAGTTTTAAAATCCGCAAACAAGGCATTTTGTTTTATCGAAGAGAAACTGCAGAAAGATTGAGCAGCACTTAAAAGTTGAAATAGAAGATGGGCGCGTAGCGCCCTAATTGCCTTGTTAATTAGAAATGAATAAATTTCCTATTAGGTCAATGATGGATTGGTTTAATTCAGACGAACCTCTCATATTCATGTTAATCGCCTAAATAATAAACATACTTTTAATGTTTTCCAACAAATTTACAAAAAAGTTTTTTTTGCAAATTGTTTTCTCTGAAAAGAATATTTTTTGTAATAGCAATTTTTGTCGAAGTGAAAACTTTTTTAGAGTTTCGACATTTTTGTTCATGTGGTTCATGTGGTTCATGTGGTTCATGTGGATGGGAACTTCCAAATGCTCAATGCATTTGAAAGTTCCCATTTAAAAATGGTCTATTTGGATGTTGCCACCTGACCTGGGGATTTGTACATTTGGAAGTTGTCGTTTAAAAATGTTACATTTCCAAGTTGTCACATTGGACATTTGGACATTTGGAAGTTGCCATTATTAAATTGTATATTTGGAAACTTTGGAATTGAGTTTTTACCCAAACTATGATTTTCTAATTCCTATATCTTTGCAACCCAACGTCGTAGACCTTATATATTTTAAACTGTGAATTATGTTAGATCTATTAATCAAAGTTTGAAATTTTAAAGGATAACACATTTGGGTTGCAAAGATATAGGAATTATAAAATTTTAGTTCGTGGCAAAAACTCAGTTCCAATTTCCACTAAAGTTTGAAAGACCATAATATTGTAATTTTACAAACTTATTATTACAAAAAATGAACATAGAAATTTTTCATGTTCAACTTTTATTTACCTTTGCAAGTGCTTCATCATCGTTGTAGATATGGAATACTTCTAGAATATTATCTAGATCTGATACAGTAGCTAGTCTGCATATATCTAGATACTAGATTATTAATATGGAATACTAGAATACTAGATCTGGTATAGTAGTCTGCATATATCTAGATACTAGATTAAAAATATGGAATACTAGAATACTAGATCTGGTATAGTAGTCTGCATATATCTAGATACTAGATTATAAATATAGAATACTAGAAAACTAAATCTGGTATAGTAGTCTGCATATATCTAGATACTAGATTATAAATATGGAATACTAGAATACTAGATCTGGTATAGTAGTCTGCATATATCTAGATACTAGATTATAAATATGGAATACTAGAATACTAGATCTGATATAGTAGTCTGCATATATCTAGATACTAGATTATAAATATGGAATACTAGAATACTAGATCTTGTATAGTAGTCTGCATATATTTATAACATACTAGATTATAAATATGGAATACTAGAATACTAGATCTGATATAGTAGTCTGAATATATCTAGATACTAGATTATAAATATGGAATACTAAAATACTAGATCTGGTATAGTAGTCTGCATATATCTAGATACTATATTATTATTATGGAATACTATAGAATACTACTAGAATACTAGATATTGTATAGTACTCTGCATATATCTAGATACTAGATTATAAATATGAAATACTAGAATACTAGATCTTGTATAGTAGTCTGCATTTATTTAGATACTAGTTTATAAATATGGAATACTAGAATACTAGATCTGGTATAGAAGTCTGCATATATCTAGATCCTAGATCATAAATATGGAATACTAGAATACTAGATTTGGTATAGAAGTCTGCATATATCTAGATCCTAGATTATGAATATGGAATACCAGAATACTAGATCTTGTATAGTAGTCTGCATATATCTAGATACTAGATTATAAATATGAAATACCAGAATACTAGATCTGGTATATTAGTCTGCATATATCTAGATACTAGATTATAAATATGGAATACTAGAATACTAAATCCTGTATAGTAGTCTGCATAAATCTAGATACTTGATTATAAATATGGAATACTAGAATACTAGATCTGGTATAGTAGTCTGCATATATTTATAACATACTAGATTATAAATAAGGAATTTCGAAGTATATAGAACTAGGCTCTAGGCTTTTAGGGCGCTTCGCGCCCATCTTCTATTTAAATTGTGAACATGTTCTTTTTGTTTACATTTTAAAACAAAGAAGAACAAATTTCGCGGATTTTCAAGAATTTAAATTTTTTTACAAAATTAAAAACCTTTAAGACACATTTTAAAAATTTTTATCATTCGTAAACCTTCCCTGTGGTCACGTGATGTCCCACAACAAATTTGGGCCCGATCGGTTCAGCCGTTTTGACGTTTATTGGATAAAAAAAACAGACAGACAAGCCAAATTTATATATAGATGAATGAAATGATGTTCAAATATCAAATCAATAATACAATATTTTAGCTGATCTTGCAACTATTTTACTATAAAACGAATGAACAAAATGTACACTTTGTATTTGTCTTCTAACAAATGTTTAATGCAATTATGAAATCTTAAATAATGTAATCTTAAAACTGAAAAAAAATGTAAATCTTATTCAAGCATAGGCTTTATTTCTATTGTATAAAAAGTAAAAGTTATATAATAATATCATATTTTGAATAAATCTAAATATACTTACAGTCTAGTTTTATCTTCGACATTTTTCCAGTTTCTGAAAATAACGCCGATATATGCGAGAGACAAATTGTGAGAAACTTTAGCATTATTTTAAGGTAATCCTTTGGCTTCTATAGATAGAGTGACATTATCGATTCTTAGCAATAACAACCTTTAAATCGTTGTCTGAGTTACGTTGAATGAGATATCTTTGATTTTCTAGCTAAATTTTTTATTTTCAATTTCGGTTTCTCTGTAAAAGAGACAAAGCAAAAATTTAAGCTTTTCAAGTGGCCATATTTTCTCCGTAATGATAAAACTAAAAATTTTGCGGATTTTTCTGTTAACATTGATAGATTTCTAATAATTGGAAAAATCTAATTTTTTTACTTTTGACATTCCATAAACCTTTCCAAGGGTCGTGTCATTTAAGTCCAAAAATAGATTTGAAAAGAGAGTTAAACGACGATATCTTCTTAAATATTGTTAAGCAAAAGGTTTAAAGCGTGATCGTTGTGAATCGGACATGTCACTCTATAAATGTAGGCTGTACAGTTTAATTTAAAGTATTCGGTTAATGATACATCTCCGTCCTACTCTAGGTCTAAACAGAGTATTAAGTATTCTGTATATGATATATCTCCGTCCTGCTCTAGGTCTAAACAGAGTACTGAATATTCTGTATATGATTTATCTCCGTCCTGCTCTAGGTCTAAACAGAGTACTGAGTATTCTGTATATGATATATCTCCGTCCTGTTCTAGGTCTAAACAGAGTACTGAATATTCTGTATATGATATATCTCCGTCCTACTCTAGGTCTAAACAGAGTACTGAATATTCTGTATATGAGATATCTCCGTCCTACTCTAGGTCTAAACAGAGTACTGAGTATTCTGTATATGATATATCTCCGTCCTGCTCTAGGTCTAAAGAGAGTACGAATCAGATCAGTTTATTATAGCATACTATATATCCGGGATCAGCTGTTTCTCCGAGATATGTTTTGTATTTAGACTCTTCAGCTGTTTTCATGGGGGGGGCTTAATATTATATTTCAAAAATATATTTATCTCTTAAACTTTTAAATCATACAAATTATTAATGATTAATGCTTACAGCATAAATTGACAAACTAGCCAGACAGAGAAAGTCAAAATTATGTGACAAAACTTGTAGGACTTTGCGAGCTTGTAGCACCTCCAGTTTTGATTGTACGATCAAGTACGAGAAGAGTAAATTTGTTTCGATACATTTTATAAATTCAAATTTTTTTTGTTCTCTTCTCAATAGCTCTTCAAAGAGAGGAGTTTTGATTGAAAACTTTTAAGATTTCAATCTGGAGTGCAAAAAAAGTGTCTTGTGGTGGAGGAAGAGCCCTGTAAGAGATAAGAAAATCCCATGTAACTTATTTTGATATTCTAAAAGAGCTCATGAAGACGTGCAGTATGACAGCAATTTCTCCTGTTGAGAATATTTGCAATTTCCAGATCTTACTTTGAAAATTTTTTAAACATACCCGTAAAATGTATTTAAAGGTATTATTTTTTAATTAATTGAGGAAATAATTTGATTTTTTAAAACTTTTAACCCCTATAAATGACTAATGATGTACATACAGAGCGTCCCATATCATATTGGATTATCTTCAAAATTTAACGCTGACATACGCACATCATACTCGAAAAAAAATAGTGTTTTCTGCGTGCAAATTTTTTAAGTAAGCTTATAAAAAATAAATTTCTAAAAAAATGTATTATAAAATTTTCTGATTAGTCCCGAAAATCGCAATTTAGAGCCATAAACGATCGGAACGATGTGGGACACCCTGTAAATAATTACCGCTCTCCCCAAAAAAAACATAAATTAAATCTTGAATTCCTTTAAGCTGACATTTTTACCTTTTTAAGAACGGTAAACTGTAAGCTGACTTAATTGATAAAATATATTTTCTACTTAACATTAATATCGATTTATGCCACTTGTTTAGACTATAAATGAGCTATAAATATATCTTTAACATACATAAATGCATACAAAAATATAATGAAGGGTTCAACATTCCAATTTCCAAGTTTCTAATGTCAGCTATACAATATAAACTGTCTTTTTAATCAAAAATATTTTCGGTTTTATAACTTAGAAATACATTGTTGTTGCCATCCGTGGGGTGCATTAAAAAAAATTGAAGAATTTCTTTTTATTTATAAACCTGAGGCCGAATTTAAACGGCGTCGCTAATCGCGCTCTCAGGACTAACCAGAGCTGGATGCGTTCGGTTTTAAAATACAAATTCATTCTCGTTGTGGTCCATAATTCAAAAATATTTAAATTCATAGAGTTTTCTTTAAAAAGCAAAAAGTATAAAAGAGAAAAGGTGAAAAAATGATGTTTAATATGATTAAAAGTCACAGCTTTTGCTTGGATGAAAACCATGCTTGTTGTAAATTTTCCTTCCCTATAGACCAGGAACCGACATATCTGATTCGTCAATTCTGTGTTCTCCGTGTACTGCAGTGGGAGGAGATCAAAACAAAGAATTCAGGGGCAACGCAACGCATCATTTTTGAGGGAAAAGGGCCTAAGGGGTGAAATAAGAATATATTGCTTTTGTATTTTCCATATTGACCAGAAAGCCAAAAATCATTAATATTCGCTCTAACTTGATATATTTACTTGTTTTTTGTTGGACTGTAATATCACATCAGAGCTGTAGTCATTCCCCTTCAACTACTGTGGGGGCACTGGGTTTGTTTACATTCCTCCAACAGTGTATAGTACACAATTTGTGTATATCTTAGTTGGGCGTTCCTGTACATAGTTCCTTGCCTTTAACATATGTCCAAATACATTTTTAATTTGATAATTAAGTTCACCATTTCTTCTCCTGACCCTAAACCCCTTTTCATTTCGAATAAAAAGTCCATAAATGTTTTCAGGAGAAGTGACCGGGAATTCTACAAGGATGAGAACACATTTTTCATTCAACCAAAAAGGGACTGCTAGCGTTATTTCAAGCCACCCTCTATGGAAAGATGGCAATGTCCGATTTACAACGGTACTCTCAAAAGTCTGATAAAGTATGAATTAGATATCCATGTTTTTGTTTCTTTAAACTGTTTTCAGGAAAAGTGAGTGAGGAAAACTACGGTATCTTCCACAATCCACATTGATCTGATTCAGGTTCCAAGGGTACCGTTCTTGTGAATCGGGTATTGTCATCTTTGTACGGGGAGTTACTTGAAATTACGCTTACAGTCCCTTTATACCTAAACCAAGTTTCTCATACTCAAATCATCTCTGATCAAAAAAAGATTACAATTACAATAACACAATTAACTAATATTAAAATTAATAATTTAATAAAATTAGGGCTTTAATTTACAACATATGCGCGACTAGCAATAATTTTGATCTGTTGCTTGCTTACTTATCTGTGCAAATTCAAAGCTTATATCTTGCCTTTGAAAAGGCAAATTTTTAATAAAATCTTACTTGAAATTGAATTAAAATTGTTGGCTCATGGAAACCCTAAAATAAAAGAATTAGATTTTATTTCAAAGAAAATATCAAGATAATTTAATCAAGAAACCTATAAATTACAGATTAGCATCCAACTCATTCCTAACTACATCTTTAATTTTCCATACCTCCATACTTTCTCAGAATCTTTCATTTCTACAGGGACTGTAAGCGTAATTTCAAAATGTGGAAGATAACGTCGTTTTTCTGACTCAAAAAATGCTTATTTCTGTAAATTTCTCCATTGCTTCGTAAATAAACAATGAAACCGCAACTAAACAAAACATTTTTACATGGAGGGTCACTTTAAATCTATCTTTCCGTTCCATTCTCCTCCCTTCTATATCTTTCCGTTCCATTCTCTTCCCTCTCCTATCATTCCGTTCCATTCTCCTCCCTCTTCTATCTTTCCGTTCCATTCTCCTCCCTCTTCTATCTTTCCGTTCCATTCTCCTCCCTTCTATATCTTTCCGTTCCATTCTCCACACTTCTATATCTTTCTGTTCCATTCTCCTCCCTCTTTATCTTTCCGTTCCATTCTCCTCCCTCTTCTATCTTTCCGTTCCATTCTCCTCCCTTCTATATCTTTCCGTTCGATTCTCCACACTTCTATATCTTTCCGTTCCATTCTCCTCCCTCTTCTATCTTTCCCATCTGTTCTATCAATTCTCCATCCTCTAGCATTTAATTATCCTTTACTATTCTTTCCTTCCATTTTTCTCTCTCCTTTATCTTCTTTTCTCATTACTTCTTTATTTTTATTTTTCCATTCTCACCCTATTATTACTTACATTACTTCTTTATCTTCTATTTTTCCATTCTCACCCTACTCTTACTTACATTACTTCTTAGTTCTTATAAACATAGATCCAGACAGCTCTGAAAAGTTGCATACATTTAAAAGATTTTATAATTGCAAACAACTTTTTATTTTTAGTTTTTAAGTAATTGGTAAAATTCTCAACAATTTTTGCTTGAGATCTTGCAATCGTTGAATCACTGTGTATTTGTTGTGTATTTGTTTCCTATAAGACAGACATGTTTTTCTAACCAAAGTATTTTTATGTGAATAATTTATTGTCTGGGAGATGAGTAATCTAATCTGTACTTTTAGCTATTTCAAGGGTTGCTTCAATTGCAATTCAACTCTGAAGGATGAATCAGAATTTGACATAAAACATACTTTTTGAACTTTTTAAAAAATCCCCCCTTACACCGTAACCATTAAAGTTAGAGGTCTAAATTTTTATTTTCTCAGCAGGCCTTGAAAAGTTGGACTAGGGACATGTATCACACTCCCCCATCTCAACAAAACCATGGGGGGTGGAACCCCCCCCCCCCCCATCTATATTAGACAAAAATAGCCCAATGAAAAGATTCACATTTATGTTTTTAAAAGTCCCGAATTAAGATTTAGCTAAGTTCACTGAAATCTATAATGCAGGAAAACCCTGCAGAAATAAACGATTTATTGAAAGAATCGCCATGGGGCATCATATTATTATAAAGATTTTATAAATATTTATTCACACACAATGGTGTAAATGAATTTGTTTAAATATTTCGAATATATAGTTTTTCTAAAGAAATAATGTGCAAAATTATGCAAAACTTATAGACTATATTGATCATAACATTATACATTACATATTTATCATTTCAGTTATTAAGTAATCATCGAATCCTTAAACATATAAATTATTCATTTTTGGATTTAAAGGGACCGTTCACTTTTTTGGGTAATTTCAGGGTAAACTAAACAGCCTAAGCGCTATTCATCGGTAATAGTC